TCGTACACTTATGTGGGTGAACATACGAACGCTTGTTAATGTCCAGCATATCCGAATGCTAAGCTGTACATATTTTAAACCCTTGGCTTTTAAGATTTAAAACCTTGGAGTATTACCAAACGAAAGTAAATTCTCCATGCTCTAATGTCAGTACGAGTTGCATAAGCTAATAACCTTTAATTGATTGATTGAAGCTTCGGTAAACATGTTCGGCAGAAGGCCCTGACCTTCTAAGGTAGTTCTAAGCGATGGGAGATGTGAGCGCAAGTCCGGACGGGTTTGAAGACGTTTGGAGACTACCGTAGGTGTTAATCTCCATTGGAAGCAGACATGATCTTTCCATCATGCTGTGTAACGTTATATCGGGGAGGTCTGCTTAAAAGTTAGACTGAAGGAATATTGAAACCACCTTGAATGGAGAACATCATCATTGAGCAAAAATGACAATTTGTTAGGTTAGAGAAAATAACACTCTTCATGAACCGCCAGGAATACCCTTTGTATAACCTTTTCCAAAAGTTTTCATTAACCACATTATGCGATGAAAGAATGATTATGCCATCTGTTGTGTTAAATAACGCATGACTCCTCCAAGATCAGATTTCATGGTTTAAATCTGCATCGCCACCATGCTTTATGTTGCACAGGGGGCTGTTACAGTAGGCCGGGTTCCATGGTTGGAGCACCTGCAGTGCCAGATGCATGCCACATCAGCGTTTTAGCTAGAGCCACCTGAGCTCATCACGAACGATGCTTCAGGAGCTGGTACTCCTTATGTATTCTTCAATGTTTCTTCTTCCATGCGGAAAGCTCGCGGGCTGGAGTAAATGGTGTGTGCTTAATCAGTTTGTTTAACACGACCAGCCTCGTATTCTTCATTTTCACATCTACTGAGGCGATTTTTGTCGGGAAAATAATATTTGGTAAATGCTCATTAGCTTCCGCGTCAAACTACAACAAGGGTTCAAACATAAAATGTCCTTGTCGCATGCATACACTCGGATACTTTTATATACATTTTGAATATGTGCACTGAACCATGAAGCATGATACCTAATAAGGTGATGACGTTTATTTTCCAAGCGCTTTCTAGGAACAGTGGTCAATATTCAGGTACCACCACCTTATTTCAAGCGATTTTGGTGCACTCGATTCAGAGAGCAGATTGATCAGCGCAGCTCGAGTCAGTTTCTACGAAGTTCCATCGCCTATCGAAGAACCGACAGGCGGCGCACTGTTGTTTCGTATTCTCATCATCAGTGTCATCGCAATAGGTTGACTCTCAGCGAATGATTGGAACACGTGTTGGAGATCCGTCTGATGCTGACGGCGTTGTTGGCCGAATCCGAATCGTCGGATCTGTTGATTCTAACGACGATGGTGGCGTCTCTTGAGGTCAGACGCATGCCAGACGTGTCCCCGGTGAACACTCGTCGAAAGGCGGCTCGAAAGTTGCTGGAGAAGACGTTGTAGATCACCGGGTTCGCACAGGAGTTGATGAAGAACAGGATGCGAGCGGCCGTAAGAACGCAGTAGAATACGTCGTAGTCGACGTCGACCAGCATCTCCGGAAACGTGACGAACAGAAACACGATCGCGTTGTACGGAAGCATGCAGATGAAGTACATCGCCACCAGCACTACCATGATGGCAATCAGCTGTCTGTTCATGTCCTGCTTTCGAGGAAAAAACATGCACGATTCGGCGGTGTGGAACTCGGCGTTAGATCCCTGTAAAAGGAACCGTGAGGTCACCTGAAGAACGGTTCGATCAAACAGAACAACTCAGCTTTTGAACGAAACCAAGTTTTGACTTCAACGGCTCTAAGCCAAAAAGCATACAACGATGTTCAAACCCTGATTGGAACTGCGGACGAATTTTCAACCAAATAACACTGGTTATGTTCAGGGCAAATGTTGCATAGAGGATGCTCCATACTGTTTAGCTGAAATGTAATTTCAATAAGACGTTAACATTGTTCCACGCTCTGTATGTAGAACCTCTGAGGCATAAGTTTTATTGAAGAAGAGGCTACGGAATCGATATGAGTTTTAGACTTGAATTTGGATCGATTTTTAAACATTACAGGTTGAAAGTTCAGAAAGTCACTTTACCAATAGCTTCGTGCATCAATAAG